GTTTCTCATTTTAAAGTATTTATTCACGTGTGATAGCATTAGTTTCTTGTCAAAGCTCGAGGAGACTTTAATAAATATTTCAATGTTTCTTTTATTTCCTTCTTTCCATTTACATTGATATTTAAGACGTGTGATCAATGAGCCACCAAACACCTGGTTCACTTACGTTTGGTTGTGATTTAAACATTTCAAAAATGTCACAATTTAAAAGCAAACATATCGTAGAATCAGCGGCTCTGAGTGGCACCGCTCACTTCCTGTGAAGGACTCCCTCCTTTAAGTTGTTGCTCCGTAGAAACACTTTGTGTCTGAGATGCTAAGCCAATCGGAGAGGTTGCAGATTAGGGCCACCTGAGAGCTCTGTGTTGGGCTCAATCACTGTCGCCATCATTTCTGTGCTTCTAATTCAACGTCTAGAGTCTTTACGTGATCTTGCAGAACTTTGAAATATCTTCATGAATCTTGATTATTTGTTTTGGGTGTGTGCTGTAGCGTCAATGTGTCCCTGGGTATCCGACACACCGGATCAAGTTTTAACAGCTGTGGCCGCCAGGAAACAAAGTCTGCATAGCGCCAGTTAAGCAATTTGGGTGTTAAGTGAGAGCAGCAGCTGTCTGCACGCCATCATCTGATACCTCACACACACACACACACCTCCACACGTGTGTTTGAACCCAAAGGCCACAGCTGCTAACACTGAGAGGTTGTTTCCCTGCTTTGTGTGTAAAGCAGCGATATGAATACTGTACAGCCGACAGCAGGTGCTATGCCAACCGCCAGCAGGAGGGTTTCTCTCCGAGGGATTACGGACATTTAGAAGTTCAGGGATTCCTCTTTACAATATTTTGTAGACGTGTGTACCAAAAGTGACGCGATGACACTCTGGGTCACCTTCTATCTTTTAAGATTACTAAAGACGAGTGTGGAAAAAAGATGGAAATACTTTGAGGGAAGAAAAAAAAAAGGTGCACTTAACTTTTTTATACTAAACTTCAAATTTAAAAGTTTAGAATAAAGGTTGTTTTGGGAATTTGAAATGCTGCATGTTTGTTTTTGGTTTGATTTCGATATATATATATAAACGAGGCTGTATTAGAAGGGCAGTTTGTGACCTGGAGCACCTGCAGGTTCTACTCTGTTGTGATTGTAGTTTCAACGTCTCCCGGCCGAACGCATCGCAGGAACCTGCTTCACACGATGCTTCCACCGCCTGGCCTTCAGACCAACGTCACCTCAGATCTTTTGTCATAAATACCTTAGTTTAGTAAACAAACTGTATGAAAGAATCAATAACCAAAATACTGTCACTTTGATATAAAAGGTATTGAGTCAAATATGGATGTTTATTTTTGTCAAACATTACACTCAGGCTGCAAGTGAGCAATGTCCTCATAGGGAAATGTGATGTTTAAAGATCCAAAGATATTCTCACATTCTCTTTAGAGACACGACAAACTGATATCAGCAGGAGAGGACTCTTTAAAGTAGAGACACTACATACTGATATACACCTGAACATCAGCAGGAGAGGACTCTAAAGTAGAGACACTACATACTGATATACACCTTAACATCAGCAGGAGAGGACTCTTTAAAGTAGAGACACTACATACTGATATACACCTGAACATCAGCAGGAGAGGACTCTTTAAAGTAGAGACACTACATACTGATATACACCTGAACATCAGCAGGAGAGGACTCTTTAAAGTAGAGACACTACAATACTGATATACACCTGAACATCAGCAGGAGTCCAGGCCAGGGGAGAGGGTACCTTACTTTTTTTAAAGGTA